CCCCCCCCCCCCCCCCGGCCCTCTCAGTACTTACTGTAATAGCTAAGGGATGGGGCAGTGGAGCGCGTGCCTGCAGATTCTGTTGCTAAGGAAACCACTTCCTTGGTTACCAGCCTGGGTAGCATTTGTCTCACTGGGTCTGGATCCCACTGAGTCGCCCCCACTCTCCAGGAAGATGAGGAAGAAGAGGTGGGACAGGACAACAGGGGTGGGGAGGAAGGGAGACAGGGAGCAAGAGACAGGCAGAGACACAGAGATTAAGAGAGACAGGGAGAGAGTTGCTTGCACAAAGAGAAGCAGAAATCAAGAAAGAGATTACGATGCAAGAGAGAGAGAGATTCAGGGATGGGGGAGGGAGAGAGAGAGGAGAAAGACAAGAAAGAAAAGAGGTTTAATGAGCAGCTGGAAGAAATAAAAGAGACCACAAAGAGAGAAATTGAGAGCATGAGGCAGTGTAAAGAAAAACAGTGACGGGGGTGGGGATGGCCAGAAAACAAACCAATGCAAGAGAGATGGGGGGAAGGGAAGAAAGCCTCTAGGCTGAGCTGGGTCCCTGTAGGACCTTGCCCCCCACTATCCCCTTTGCCTCCCCACCCTTTTCTCCCACCCACATTGTCTACCAGGGATATGTTTGCAGCGGCCTCCAGGATTCCTGGAGAAATCAGGAGGAAATCCCAGCTGTCAGCAGATGCTGGGCCCTGTTTGTTCGTTCTCCTTGAGTTCTGGAGTCACAATGTACCGGAGGTGACAGCAGGATGAGAGCCTACGTGTCCCGGCTTGCAGGCCAGGCATGTCCCCTGCCCTGGGGACCACTGGAATACAAAGCTTTCCTTCCTTCTCAAGTGCCAGGGTTTGGGTGGCACTTTTTGGAGAGGGCACACAGACACTGGGTGGTCATCACACCAGCCTGGGGGATGCAGCATCACCACACAGAAGGGCAGTTGAACACAGAGGCAGAGACGATGTTACACACCAAGACACACAGTTCTTCACAGGCAGTTAGAGTTGCACAGACACCAAAGCAATGATGCTCCCAGAACATTCTCTGTCTCTGTCTGTCTCTTCACACACACACACACACACACACACACACACACACACACACACACACACACACCAGAGAAACATTCCACTTGTGACCTTGCCTTACACGACAGGCTATCACGTGGTAGAATTATCAAGAAAACTTGTTTTTAATGATGGTGTTGACCTGAGGAATCTTCAGACGGAGGCTGGTGGCCTGAGGTGACCATCAGCAAAGAACTGGCCCAGGTCTTGGACCCAGAGTCTCCCAGAGAGAGCTGACCTCTAAGAGGGAGGGGAGGCCAAGCCCTCTAACTGCTTCATGAAAGACGACTAGAAATTTGCCTGGGGGAAAGAAACACGGTACAAAATACATTCAGAGCCCCCTGGCTGGGCCCCGGGGTGGCCCGAATCCTACAGATGAGGGGCTCAGGGAAGAGAACCACAGGTCCAATCCCCTGGCCCTTCTCTTTGCACGGCCACGTTCGAAGGGGTGGAATGTATTAGTCATATTCCTCTTAAAAAAATATATCTCTTTATACTCGCCTCCTCCATAGTCTCTTGGCTATTTGGGAATGAGCATTTATCTGCACCCCAAGGCTGCTTGGGGGGCTGCTCCAGACAGAATAGCAAAGAGCTGTGAGCTATGGCTTTTGCACCTACATGGTGGGGGGATGGTGTAGGTGCACAAATGTGGGCTGGATGCGAAATCACTGGTACCCAAGGTGGGGGGAGAGATGGGATCCTGGATCTCAATGCTTTCTGAGATAGATGATCAGTGATTCAGGTCCTCGGGAATCCTTTGGTTTGATGTCTCAGCATCAAAAGAGCAGCGTTTGTATGGACATGAACAACCATCCCATTCACCCCGTTCCTTAAACCCCTAAGAGAAGCTGGCCTATGACCAAAGGGAGGTCTATGGTCTGGGAAGGTAGTGGGGGTCACTTTCGCTCATGGTTCCACCTGATTTGGAGCACTCTTGTTCTCTCTCCTGGATAGCAAGAGACTTATTGGTAGGGGTCAGAAGGGCAGTGTCAGATCAACGTGTTGGACCCCACGGTGTGGAGGTGTGTTACCAGAGCTCTCATTCTCACTCAGATTCTGCACGTGGCTTGTGGCCGTCCTGGTGAGATAATGGTTGGTGCCTGAGGACCCTGGAAGTGGGTCACCACCTGGATACAGCTGGGGAGGAAAGGGAAGAGTTCCAGCCCTCGAGGTGGACAGGAACCCGGTCATTTCTCAGGAGCACGGTGACCTGGTAGGGGGGTGAATTGGGATGTCAGTGACCCCACGCAGTGGCCCCAGTTAACCTGCTCTGAGCACCATTGCTTCCCTGACCCACCCAGAATGTCAGACACATAAGGCCGCAGAGAAACTTCCCAGCAATCTTTCTGCAAACAGAAGTGGCCAGGATAAACCCTGGCATCAGCGCTTCCTGGGTGGGGCAGAGACGGGGAAGCTATGAGTGCTCAGCTCAGCACGGAGGGAGTCTGGGGCCACAGTTTTCCATGGCATTCTCGTTAGCTCTTGCACCAGGGTCCTCAACACCTGCGGTGGGGCACCCTTGTCTCTGGGACGCCCATGAGCCCTCCTTCCCACAAGTGGAGCCCAGAGTGGTGGGCACAGGGACAGGGGAGACAGAGAAGGGTCCATGTGGCTAGAGCTCCCTAAACCAGTTGCCCCCTCCATCTCTGGGGGCGCGGTGTGAGTAGGTGGGGCGTGCCTGCACAATCTCTTCGCTTGAGCCTCCTTTGTCATGCAGGAAACTCAGCGAAAGGCAACCGCAGCCAAGGGGATTGTCCCCAAATCGAAGAGGGGACTGATGGGTGTGGGCCCCCAGGGGTCTGGAGTCCCCAGGGCCTGCTTGGTCTGGACTGCCAGCTCCCCGCCCCGCTCCGACCCATCATCTGGGGTAGTAGTCATCGGGAACGCCCGTGAGGTTCCTCCCTTTAAGGGCCGCATCCACCGTCTTGATGTAGGCAGAGATGGTCTTCTGCATGTCCGCCGTGTAGGGGTCGTACTCCAGCTTCCGGAGCCCCGAGCGCTTGAAGTTGCCGTCCTTCTGGCTCTCCACACACAGCAGTCGGTCCTCCCTGACAGCCACACCCAGCAGGCCGACCATCCGGCCCAGCTGGACGAAGAGGTCCTGCTTCAGATCCTCAAAGTGCACCACCAGCACCTTCTTGCCAAACTTGAGCCAGTCCAGTGTGTGCGTGGCCCACCACGGGGCGTAGTTCCTTACGAATTCTGGCCACTCTGTGGACAGAGCAAGGAGGCCCAAGTCAGCGGAAGGACACAGGTCAGATGGCGCTGGCAATTCACAACAGCGCCACCCCTGTTAACCCTTAGATCACCAAACTCGCCTCCCTCCTCCCACCTCAGGGCTGCTGCTTCTGCCTGGAATCATCTTAGCCCTTCCTTCTCTCTGGGGAGAATGACATCTGTCTGGTGCTTACTCCATGCCAGGCACAGACTTATATATAAATCCTTGTTACTCCATTTTTATATTTTAATATATATTGATCTTAATATAGAGTGTAATAAATATACTAATAGAGCTATCAATTCACTTATTCCTCACAAGAACACTGTGAGGCAGGCATCATCGTTTTCTTCATTTACAGAAGGGGGAACTCAGGCACAGAGAGGTTAAGTAACTTGCCCAAGGTCACACAGCTAATAACTGGCAGAGCCAGGATTTGAAACCAAACAGTCTGGCATCAAAGTCTGGGCTTTTTACTACCAAGTTATCCTGGGTAGGAACAGTTATCCTGTGTAGTAACAGTATCTTCTCACAGGATAGTAATAGGGCCTTTGTACAGAGAAGTGGAAAAAGCATACAGAATTTTCAGCATGGTGCCCTGTACCCAGGAGGTGCTCAGTAAACGTTGGCTATTATTATTACTGTGATTATTCTGTTCTCAGGTGAGATGTCATCCTCCCTGACTCCCCAGGCTCAGGCAGGTACCTCCTCTGGGCTGAGGGCAGTTTAAATCAGATTATTTACATTGTCATTTTGACACCTTTCTATCCTATCTTTCTTTCTTTGCTTTTTATTGAAGTATGACACACTGTTTCTTTGTGCTGTTTGTTCCCTTGCCATGGTAAAAGGACAGGATGGATTGTCACCCAGATTGGGAGTATGTGTTTGGGATCCCCTGACTCAAGAGACAGGCTACAACAGAATGTGGGAAATTCACCAGAGAGCCCTGGAGAAGACCTCAGAGAGACAGCCAGCCAGCCAGCCCCAGGAGCTGTTGAAACTCTGATAAAGGGGAACCCAGGAGGGGGGTCTTGGAGGATGTTGGGAACAGAGAGAGGGATTTGCAGCCTCAATTCTGAGCCCCAGCTGGAGAATCACAGGGCCTGTACTCCAGAACCCTGAAGCCATACCCGCTGCTTCTCACAGGGGCAGCACCACCCTGCACCCTCCAGACGGATATGTTTACTGAACGAGGCTCAGTGAGTCTCCCAAGCTGGGGTGGGGAACCCAGCTGGTTCTTAATAACTAAATCCTCATCCTTTGCTGGATGATGGATACCCCTTATCTCATTTAATCATAGTAACTACCCTGAAAGGAAAAGACTACTGTTCATTTGTCACCAGTGAGGAAACTGAGGCTCAGAGACGTGAAGTAATTTGCCCAAGGTCACACAGCTGGGAAGCATCATCCAGACCAGGCCTGCCTGATTCCAGGCCCCCATCTTTCCTAGGCACCAGCAGCCTCACCCCCACTCCCTCCCACTGCCTCACACCCAGCAGGGGCTTAATAAATGGTTGTTGAACTAAATTGAAATTCCCAGCCGCCAAGCTGTGATGTGATAAAGGGCTTCTCTTTCTTCGCAGAGCACATCAGAATCTGTGGTGAGGCTCCTGCTCCCCCAGTGACCCCCTGGAACACCACAGCCGCTTGGGAAATACTTATGCTGATGACAAAGATATATTTTTTTTTTTGCGGTACCCGGGCCTCTCACCGTTGTGGCCTCTCCCGTTGCGGTGCACAGGCTCCGGACGCACAGGCTCAGCGGCCATGGCTCACGGGCCCAGCCGCTCCGCGGCATGTGGGATCCTCCTGGACCAGGGCACGAACCCGCGTCCCCTGCATCAGCAGGCGGACTCTCAACCACTGCGCCACCAGGGAAGCCCCCGACAAAGATATCTTTTATCCTTCAAATAGATTATTTACAATGTATCTAGCTAACTGGGCCCGTACTGTTATAAGACCAGATGTATCTGTGTGATTAGGAAAAAATCTAGCATGTGTATACTCTGCTTTACTTTCTGAGAAAGAATTTTCCCATTCCTGAGTCATCTCACAGCATCCCTGGTGATTCAGGACAACTGCTGCTCCCATGGCAGAAACCCAGATGGATCTAGAAGCCACTTGGTCACCCAGTAACACACAGATCTGCATGGACTTCCAGGCTTAGCCACTTGTGACCATCTCAAGAGGTTCCTGGAGGGTGGTCCTCAAGAAAAAGGAAGGGCCTGTCTGCATGATGGCCTGGATCCCCCAGATGGTGCCCCTGGCCTTGGGCACAGGTTGGGGGGAGATGACATGGCATCCCTGTGACTGCAAACTTCCCTGGGGTGGGAATGTATGTTGCCTGAGCACCTACTGTGTGCCAGGACTCTGCTGGGCACTTTGCACACACTACCTCATGCAGTGCCCCTTACAAGAAGCCTGGAGAGTAGGAATTACTCTAGCTCCATTTTACACACGGGAACAAAGGTGGCTCAGAGATGTGAAGCCACCTGCCCAAGGCCACACAGCGGGTGTCCAGGGCAGGATTTGAATCCACATCTATCCCAGACTGAGCCTGGCTCCTGCCCTCCTGGCAAACCCTTTAAGAGCACCTGATCTGACCATCTCCAGCACTCTTCTCGCCCCAGATCCTAGTCTACATCCGCTTACTTCACCTTCAGGTGTCATCTAAGACACGGGTCTGTTCACAGAAGACTTTGGAGTCAGACTGCCAGGGTTCAAAACCCAGCTCCTCTCCATATTGGCTGTGTGACCTTGGGGACGTCAGGAGGTCTCCTCGAGCCTCAGTTTACCCATCTGCACAATGGCAACTGTGCTAAGACCTCCAACCTAGACACGCCATACAGATGGAATGGAATAAGATTTGCAGACCCTGGCACCAGGCCTGGGACAAAGGAGGCGCTGGATAAATGTTGGCTACAATTATTCTTGATGTTGGTCCCCAGCATCTCTGAGATGCCCCAAGTGGCCCATCATTTTGGGGCAGCAGATACTTGCCCCCTCCCCACCCCTTCCTAGAGCAAAGACCCCTCACTTGAGGTTCCTGAATGATTCGCTGGAATGAAGAACAAAAATGAAAAACAAAAGCCCTCATTTAGCTCAGGATTCCCGGTAATTGATGGCTGCCTTCAAATTGGGTAATAAAGGCACACTATGCCATGGACCACTGGTAATGAGTGCTGGTTCTGCCAGAACTGTCCCCCACAAGGGCCCGGCGGGACACGCGCTGGCCACTCTCTGCTTCATCTTGTCAAAGGGAGGAACCGGGGTCTGATTAATAGCTTAACTGTATTTAATTCTCCACGGAATCATTAAACACGGTCTCTGTTTCATTAAACAGATCCAGGACAATTCACCTTGTGTAATCATATCACATAAAACTTTGCTTTGGGCCCACTCCAGGGATATCATAAAATCAATGTTATGGAAACAAAAGCCGGGGGGCGGGTGGTGGTGACACGAGCCTCAACCCAGCTGTAACTGGGAGGGGGACACGGGTGAGTGATCTCTTAGCAGGTGAGTGACCTCTGCTCTTAGGTGGGAGTAACCCTCACATTCCCGGCCGAGGGTGTCCTAAAGCAGTGATTCTCAAATTTGAAAGCTCACAAGAAGCTTCTGGAAGGAATCTTGTTAAAATGAGAATTCTGATCCAGTAAGTGTGAGGTGGGACCTGAGAATCTGCATTTCAAACTAATTCCCAAGTGATACTGACACTGCTGGAGCAGGCAAGGGTCTCAAACTCAAGTGCCTACAGGGTCAGATGTTAATGCAAATGAGAGGAATGGGTGGGTGGGGTCCGTGGGGATGGGGTTCTTTGGGGAAGGCTCTCAGGCAGAGCACTTGAAGACCTGGGTCAGGCCTGGGAGGAAGCACTGGGAGAAGGTCCCTCCCAACCCAGACTAATGAGGGGGCCCCAGGCCCCCTATAGGAGGTGTGTGTCCTGAAATCTCCTCTTTCCCATCCCCTGCAGCCTCTGGGCTCAGCCTGTCCTGACACTTCCCTTATCTTTGGTTTTAAAGCTCCCAACTGTCTTGAATAAGGAAGAGGCAAGGTGGCTCCTAGGAATTAGGAAATTGCCTAAACCTGAGACGAGGGGTTATGCCAGGAGGGGGGAGCCTCTGAATGTACCAGAATGTCAGCAACACCCCGAGGTGAGAGACAGCCTGGTAGCTAATGCCTGAGTTTGGATCTCAGCTCGCTCAACTCCTGGGGCCTCCGCCACATGACTCGCTCCCTTCCTGGGATGGTGATTGTGGCAGCCCTTCTTGCCTCCTCAGGTAAGTAGAAGATTTAAATGAGATAATTATTGCTAAGTGCCTGGTCCCATATGAGCTTCCCAAGTGAATTCCCTCCCTTTTTACTTGGGGCAGTAGGATGCCTGGGAGGTGGAGAGCTGGACTCTAGTCCTGCCATTATGTGCCCGAGTGACTCTGGCAGGCCCTACCTCTCTTGGGCCTCGTTTTCCCCATTAATAGAGAATGAATCCGTGGTTCTCAGGCCTGCCTGCACACTGCTTTAAAAAATACCAGTGCCCAGGCTTCACTCCAGTAATCGTCTGGGGTGCAGCCTTGGCACTGGGACTTCCCCACATCCTGGGATTCTGATGTGCTGCTGGGGCTGAGGACACCTGGGTTCAGCGATCACCCAGGTCCTTTCCAGCTTGACAAGCAGAACATCTGCTCCCGGGACAGGATCCTGCTGTTGGCACCTGCAGACTTCTCAGCCTGGCCCCAAACAGTGGTCATTTTTGATTGCTCTACAAATAAATAATTCAGAGGTCTCTTTACCCCTGGGAACAAATGTCATCACCTGTCCAAGCTTCCACCCCCTCACTGAGAGAGGGCGGTGAAGCAGGGGAAGGGACAGACAGGCCCCTTGAGCAAACTGGGAACCCAGGGCACAGTTGGTCAGGCAGGCCGAAGGGTTTTCATCTATGACATCAGTGCTGAGAATGTGATTGGCTGAGTTAACATTGTCCTGCCTGCTCCGGTTCTCTCTGGGGAGGGGCTGGAGCGTGGAGCAGCTGGGGGCCAGGGGGAGGGTTTGGAGGAGTGGGAAGCACCCCTGGGCCTAGAGGCTGCAGCAGCCTGGTTCCTTGAAGCTGGATGAGGTTGGCTGGGCTCACGTTCACAGAGTACTTACTCGGCATCAGGAGCTCTGAGCGGGGGGATCTGTAGCCACAGCCGTTCAGTTTAACTCATTATCATAGCTCAGTGGTTAAGGGCGTGGGCTCAGGAGCAAGACTCCCTGGGTTCAAACCCCTGCCCCACCACTTCCTGGAAAAGTGCCTTCACCTCCCTGAAACTAGCCTGCCCCATCCATGACACAGGGTGAACTGTGTGAACCTAACCCAGGCATTAGCTACCAGGCTGTCTCTCACCTTGGGGTGTTGCTGACATTCTGGTCATGCATGGAGGTGACTTTCATTATGGTAATGGAGATATGGGTGATAACTGACATGGGATTTTGAGGAGGTTGGGTCTGACTTCGGAGCTCTCCCCACTACTGTGGGCCGCTGCTCTGTACTGAGACGTTCTTCCATTCTGGAATCTACTAAACACCAGAGGTGAACATCAAATTCAGATCATCTTAATGAAGTTTAGCGCTCGGAGACTGACACTGTCACTTCCCAGCTATACCTGGGGCAAGTCACTTAACCTCTCTGAGTTTTCCAATCCAGAGTAGTGGAGGGGGTTCATAGAATGATGATCTTAGGAGCTCATAGGTGACCTCATGGCCACTCAGCCACTGACCTTGGGCTGGATTCAGATCCCAGGAAAGGGGTCTTGAACACGAGGGTCCACTGAGTGTTTTTAAAGGGTTAAATTCTTGGATTTTACTACCTCCACTTTATAAACAGGACAATCTCAGTTCATGGAGGTGAAGGGAGCTTTTCTAGGAAGTGGTGGAATTGGGATCTGAACTCAGGGAGTCTTGGTCCAGAGCCCATGCCCTTAACCACTGTGCCATGGTAACAACCTGGCTCACAGAGGGTGATGCTGGTGGGTATGGTGGGATGTGCAAAGCATACCTCCTCATCTGTAAGCAGGACCTGGACACCTACACACATGCCCTCAAGGATGCCCTCCTGGATTCCTGGCAGGAGACAGCACTAGCCCCTCGCACTGCCCTCTGCACCCTAGGGCTCCGCCCCCCCACACCAAAGCAGTACCTTTGCCCTTCCAGTGGGCATGGGCAGCAAAGCCGATGTGTCCGCCATACTTGCGGTTGAACTCCGCCATGAGGGCCTTGTAGGGGTTGCGGATGAGCAGGATGGCCGCGTCGAAGGCCTCGATCTCCTTCTGGCCACTCTCATGCGTCTTGATGCAGATGGTCCTCCCGCTGCGCCAGTGGTCCCGCTCACCTTTAAACCCTTCCCACAACCAGGGGGTTAGGGAACGTGGCACTGAGCTGAGGGAGGTCCACCCCACCCCCTCCTGGACCCCTTCAGAAATCCTCAGACGTTCATTTGTCCACTCATTCATTTACTCACATACTTATAGAGCACCTATTACATGCCAGGCACTGTGCAGGGAGAAAATGATTTACAAAAACATCCATGGGTCTTAGTTTTTGAGAGCCAGATAATTTGAATAGTGACATAAATGAATGTAAAGTCACTGCCGTGGTTAGAGCTACAGAAGAGGAGTAATCATGCGTACGTGCCACGAGAGGGGCCTGACAGTGATGTGCTGGAGGATCCCTCTTTGGGTGGAGTCTACATCTCCACCCCACTGATGCTGGGCACGCCATATGACTTGCTTTGGCCAGCGGATTGAAGGTGGAAATGGGTCTCTGCCAGAGTCTCAGGATGCATCACGTTTCTGTTCACTCTTGTGTGTTTCTGCTCTCACTGTGAGAAGGACATGCCCTGGAAGCCTGTTGGTCCCAGATGGTGAGAGACCCATGGAACAGACATGGGTCCAACCTGCAGTCTGCAGCTGAGCAGCCCAGCCAGCCTGGCCAAGATCACTGACCTAGTCAGGCAGCATCCAGAAAGACTTCCTGGGAGAAGAGGTGCTTAGGCTGAGAACTGAAGGACGAGGAAGAATTTACCATCCCAAGTGAGGAGGGAAAGGTGGTGGGAACAGCAGGTGCAAAGGTCCTGTGGTGGGTGGGAAGAAATGTGTCGCACATGAGCGACTGGTACAGGAGAGCAGAGGGCAAGAGGGGGTCCTGATGAAGAGTTTTAGTACTGGACCAGAAAGACTACACAGCCCTTAAAAGGAATTAAGCAAAAGGAAGGAGGGACCTGATCAGGTTCTCATTTCAAAAGCTGAGGAACTGAAAGACGTTCTGGGTAGCTGGAGGATGCTTCTATAGCACCGACTCCGTGCTGGACACTGCTCTGAGCCCTTTTCATGTAGTAGACAACTGATCCTTTCAAAAATCCTCTTCGGGTTTTATTTGATAGATGACGAAACTGAGTGAGTCCCAGGGAGAGCAAATAACTTGCCCAAGTTACAGAGCTAGCGAGAGGCAGAGCTAAGGTTCAAAGCTAAGCCATCCTGCCGCCCAAGACTGTGCTCTTCTCCATCTTGGCCTCCCATGCCCATGAGAGTTGAGGCATTTGGATGGGCTCTTCAAAGCCAGTCAGAATGCTAACGTATCAATACCAGACCGTCAAGATACTGGCTGTGTTTCCAACTCAAATGAGTGATCTGGGACATCGTGTCACCTCTTTGGGCTTCAGTTTCCTGTATGAGGTGCCCAGCATACAGTAAGTGCTGAAGGAATGACTTAAATGGAGGGAAGGTCCCATGCACATAGTAGGTGCTTGATAAGTGTCTAATGTTGACGGAAGCAGGTGAGGTACCCAGGACATGATACTCAGGAAATGTTTGTGGGATGTAAGTGAAGGGAAGGTACTAAGCACATAGTAGGTCTCGATAAACATGCCCAGGTGAGCTGAGCAGCACATAGTAGGTGCTCAGGAAGGGGTATTCCCATGCCCTCCCAGGGGGTCCTTCCCGAGCTCCTGCCCCCGTTCCCTGTTCCCCTCCGCCTCCTCACCTTTGTTGTAGAGAGAACCGTCGAAGTAGTAGCTGCCGGTGTAGAAGCCGGTGGCCAGCTCGATGAGGTGGCGAGCCCATGTGTTGCCGGCACCTGGGAAGCTGGCCAGAGCGATGAGCTGCTTGGACTTGGCTGGAAGGAACCTTCTGTCCATGCAGCGGTTGTCTGCAAAGGGCAGGGCACAGACAGGGGTCAGTGGCAGGGGCACATCAGAAGAAGCCTGTTCAGAAGGGACCAGGGTGTGAGTCCCATCCCTGCCACTTCCCAGCTGTGCGACCCGGTGCTTTCTGGTCCTGTTTCCTCATCTGGAAATGGGAAAATGGCTATATGAGACAATATATGAAAAAGGATAAGCACATGGTAGGGATTCAATAAAAGTCAGCCAGGAGGATGAGCCTTCTCTCCAGCCTCAGTTTCTCCCCTGCCCCAGTGAGTCTCTTATCACCCCCACACCTGCCTCCAGATTAAAACTCACAAATGCCATCGATCTGCATGGGACTGAGTCCAAGGTTTTTATCTTGACCTTCAAGCCCCGTGTGGCCTGGCCCTTGCATCCTCCCAGGCTCACGCCACCCACATGCTCTCCCCTCAAACTCCCCCACCTGCCAGCTACTTGGTTCTTTCACTGTCTCATCCGTGCTCTGCTCCTTCCTGACTTGGCAGCTTCAGGTGCACTGGTCCCTCAGCCTTCACTGCCTCCTACCTGCCTTTGACTGCTTATTATCCTGCTCTCTGCTGAACTGGACCCTTCCTTCCTCCCTTCCTTCCTTCTTTCCTCCCTCCCTCCCTTCCTTCCTTCCTTCCCTCCCTTCCTTCTCTGACTCCCTGGGCTATCATTAGTGTACCACGTCCATCTCTCTCGTATTACTTTCTGCTACTGTAATTCAAATAATTATTTGTTTAGTCAGAAACCCGGCCCATATTGTCCTTTGCTGATTCCCTGGCACTTTCCATACTATCTGGCATCCACCTAACCATCCATCTACCCATCCATCCATCCATCCATTCATCCAAGAAACATTTATTATCCTTACTTGCTTTCTCACAATAGCCCTTCAAGGGAAAAGTTTGAAGTCCTAAATTTAAATTCCAATTCTGCCATCTCCTTGCTGGGTAACCTTGGAAAAATGATGGATCTGAATAAACCTTGGTTGCCTCACCTGTAAAATGGGAATGCTGATAATGATGACATCCTGGGGGTTGGTTAGGAGGGTTAGAAGAGAGAATGGGTGTTGAGTGTTAACACAGGGCTCACATGCTGTGAGCTCTTAGTATTGATGCTGCTAGCCAGAGACCAGGTCTCTTCCCCGTCATGCAGATTTAATCTGTTTGTTCAGAGGAGAGCAGATTTTGGGGAAAAAAACCAAAAAGCATCTTTATCAAGCCAAGTAGGTGTCTGGGAATGGTTTTCATGGGAACACACTGCAAAAAGGAGCCTAGATGCAAAACTTCCTGGAGAGTGGTTATGTTTTATATTTTGACAGGGGTGTGGATTTCATAGGACCCAGTTGGCATCAAATACTACACTTAAAGTTTGTGTATTTCACTCTATGTAAACGCTACTTCAAAATATCATAAGCGGGGCTTCCCTGGTGGTGCAGTGGTTGAGAGTCCACCTGCCGATGCAGGGGACGCGGGTTCGTGCCCCGGTCCGGGGGG